GCGCTGGCCCGCGGGCATCCGGCATCGGTTCGAACATGATCTAGAGCAAGACCAGATCTCGATCTGGTCCGTTCTGGATCGCGACTCGGCCTAAGTCTGGATCCTGAATCGGCTCGCGCTGAATCGTGAATCCGCTTTTTTGAATCGTGAATCGGTCCATGCGGGAGCTCAAAGAGCTTGGCCGGACCGGATTGCAATTTGGCCCATTTCTGGACAGTGAATCGACTGACAGCGTGACAGATTGGACCGACCCAAGATCCAAATCGGACCGATTCGGGATCTAAAGTGGACCGATTCAGGATAAAAACGGACCGATTCACGATCTACAAGCTGGGACAGGTTTTCTCCTAACGCCGCCACGTGGTCCAATGCCGCATAACAGGAGGATTGGTGTGACTATGTGCTACAGTGGCCGAACACACTGCGCTTCGGAGGTTCACACCCACTGCCCCTATTGTATAGTACTACCACAACAGTGCAGCATGTGGGCCAGTATGTGTGTTCAGTCCACTCCTTCCTGCTTCGCGTGTTTGCACCCACGATGTGTATGACATGTCAATTCACTGTCATACACACGTTGAGAACACCCAATGTGTCTTGGGAACATCCAAGCCTCCCACCTCGCCGATGGCCGCGCTCAAACCACGGAGAGGGTAATCGACCTCCAGCGCGTCGTGGCCCGCGGCCTGCTTGTTCACCGCATCCTCGCACATCTGCTCAAAGTCGGGGCTTGTGGCTGCCCTGCCGCACGCTGCTGCACCGACTCGGGCACGCTCCTCACGGACCCAGGCGGTGGAGGAGCTTCGGCCAGCTGCGGTGCGCCCCCACCCCCAGCGCCTTCCGTGGCGCGGGGGTGGAGCGCATCCGCAGGAAACTTGGCAACGGGCCCCAGCACGACCGATAAGACGTCGGACTGCACCTCGACGGTCGTGCCATGCTGCCCCGGCCTCCTGCGCATCTGTTCGGAAGGCGTCTCCACCTTCGACACGTCCAGCGGTGGCAAGATCTGCCAATCGGAAGGCGGGGACGGCGGGGATAGGGCAGCAGTCAGCTCATTCACGTTGCACGGTGGTCCCCAGACAGAAAGGGCTCCAGCACCTGGAACGCGGAGTGGTGCTTCCGCCCTCCACTGCATTGCCACCGCCAGCGTGTCGATCACCATGGCACTCTTCGGCACTGGTTCGGCACCGCAAATCTCCAAAACACACCTGAACTCCTAAGCCGAAGCCGAAGACCTCGCGGGACCCTGCCGCCGAGGCGTGGCTCCTTCTGGGTAGCCGCCCAGGCCTCACGTGATGACCCCACACTCAAGAACTCCGCAGCGTGCCATGCACACTTACAACGGAGACGACGCTCACCAGACAGGCGATCCCTCGTAACACGCGAGAGCGGAGAGCAGGCCCTTCGATCTCTACATGAGGGGTCACCTCGTCAGTGGGTCGCTTCCTCTGGGGGCTCCGCAGCCTCGCCACCTCGCCTTGCAGCGCGTCGATCTTGGCCTGGAGCTTCCTCGCGAGGGTGTCAGCAGCGGCACGGCCGTAGAGGCTCCCGTAGCGACACTGCCCAGGCAGGGAACCTCCCGCGACACACGGCGGACGCACATGACCAGCCCGCTTGAGCCAGCGCGGGGGTTTGCCCGCTGAAGGGCGGCTTGCGCCAAAATGGCTGTGGAGGAGGAGGAGGAGGAGGAGGAGGAGGAGGAGGAGGAGGAGTAGCAGGAGGAGGAGAACAGGAGAAGAGGAGAAGAGGAGAAGAGAAAGAAGATGACAGAAGAGAAAGTAATAGTTGATGAACCAGGAGAGAAAATATCTACCGATACCACTACCCTTGCCTCGCTTTCGTCTCTGGGGCCTCCTGGGAGTTCCTCGTCGCCGTGGCTGGGTTCGCCTCGGAATCCTGGTCAGAACGAGCCCCTGGAGATGTCTGGGGCGTGGCAGTGTCGGTGCCTTTTTGCCCCCCCGCGGAGGGACGGGCGGGAGGAGGGCGAGGCGTCGGGGAGGGCGAGGACAGGGGGAGGGGGGAGGCGCAAGACTCGAGCTTGCAGGAGCTCGGGCTTGCCGCCGCGTTTTCTGGCGGTCCCGGCGCGGCGTGGATCTTGACGGTCTTCTTTCCTCCTCCGCGGCCGCCCTCTTCCTTCCCAGTCGTCTCCGCGCCCCGCACCCGGCGCGCCCCGCTGGTATCAAGCCCCCGCCCCCTGCGATCGCCGGCGCTGCCGAGGAACAATTTTTTGTCCGTGCTGTGTTTGCAGCGGGAGCCGCGCCAAATTCCAGGCAGTCGTGCCAGTTTTATTGTGGCCCCGTCGGGCACAGTCGAGACGCCCAAATTCGAGTCTGACGTCTCCCCGATGGGAAGGGCAGGGCGGGATTCCCCCTCCTACTAGCAAAATCACCGTCGAAAACTGTCAGAATGGGGTTGCGTTAGGGAAGCTGGATGGTCCATAGGCGCAGCCTACAGGCCGTGTGCGCTGCTCCTTGATGCTCGCTGCCAGCCGTTGGGTGGC